GATGAAGAAGGAAGATACCATACAGGATATGCCGTAACCACAACAGATGAAATTGTCAAATCATCATCTTTACCATCAACTATGTCTGCACAAGAAGCTGAATTGCAAGCCCTGACTTCAGCATGCAAGATCTCTGAAGGAAAGCGCGCCAATATCTACACGGATTCAAGATATGCACTGGGCGTGGCTCACGACTTCGGATTAATTTGGAAAACAATAGGATTTCTTACCACCGCCGGTACACCAATCAAGCACGGTTCCGCAATCAAGGAGCTGATGGACGCCCTCCTACTCCCAGAAGAAGTGGCTATTTTGAAGATAAAGGCACATGGGAAGTTGGACTCAGATGAAGCAAAGGGCCACCATCTAGCTGATCAGGCTGCAAAACAAGCTGCAAGAGAACCACAGGAAGTGGAAAGAAGAGTGTCCGGAAATGAAGAAACTCCCATATTTACTCTGCAGACTCTTCCAACTGACCTAAAAATCCTGCGGGAACAACAGGCTACAGTTGCCCCTGAGGAAATACAGAAGTGGAAACAGAAAGGGGCAGTTCTAAGAGATGGAGTGTATTACAACAATCTCAGATTCTGCCTCCCTAAGAATTTGTACCCAGCAGTCGTACAATGGGCACACGGACCTGCACATTTATCAAAGGATCTAATGAATGCTCTTGTACAAAAATACTACCTCATTGTCCCCATATGAGATTCTATTCGGGTCAGCACCCAGGCTAGGTTGCTATTTTTCCCAGCAATTACAACTTCATACTGATGTTTTAGTAAACTATGTAACTGAACTTGCCAATGCTTTGAACAAAATCCATGCCCAAGTTTTCTCTTCAATTCCAGATCCTGATTCTGACACAGGCAACCACAGTCTGCTCTCCGGTGACTGGGTTCTGGTCAAGAAATTTGTGCGAAAACACACCCTGGAACCAAGATTTGACGGACCGTTCCAAGTTCTCCTGATCTCCCCTACCTCTGTCAAATTGGCCGGAAGGCCTAACTGGATCCACGCTTCCCATTGCAAGAAGACACCTGCCCCAGAGGAAGCTAACTCTATGCAACCATGTGCCTCTGGTACATTATCTCCTTAGTTGGCCTCCTTAAAGCCCAGCAGGTGGCCATCACCAAAGATGCTAGTGGGTACACTTTCTAGTATAATTCATCATGTACCCATGTGGCTACATTCACTTTTGATTACTGTGATATTGTAGAATGCCCATTCCCTAAGTCACAGATTCAAGCCATTTATAAAGATATACCACAAGCAAAAGACCCTTACGTTTGTGTAGTAGATGAACAATGGGGTCATGACTGTAACTACTGGGGGGCTGCGGGATGGAATACTGGGCCTGCCTGGGGTTATAAACCCAAAAGTGCTTTATCTAAGATAGACAATCAGGGTAGATCCCTCCTTCAAAGAATGACTTTAAGAAAGCCTGGAGGAAGTACCCCTATGAAATTAATGTTAAATATTGAACATCCTGGCCCCGAGGATGCAGACCGATATGTAATGGGAATGTATTGGAAGAAAGGTTCCTACAACAAATTAGGTCATTTCTACCTCAGAGATATGTACCACTCTCCAGAGTGGCAAGGGGCTGATCATATGGTCCCAAATCCGCTAAAACCACATATCCAGTCCTTTAAAGATATGATGGCCATCGCTAACCCCACTTTGAAGATACCATGGCCGCTGAAACTGGATTCAATGACATTAATTTGTGGTTAGAATGGATGAGGTATAATGCCAACAAACATAATAAAACAGCATGTTATGTATGTGGCGGTGCCCGACCCCACCTTGGCACCGTCCCCCTAACTCTCCCTTTAGAGATAGAAGATTGCTTCTTAAGCCTTTTTGCCTACCAATATGACTTTGATAGGTCCCTCTGCATGGCATGGACGGCAGAATACCCTCTCTTAGTTGAAAATGTTAAGCCACCAGATGGAATCACAGTCTATAGAGGTAATTACACTTGTTATGCCATGTATGACGGGATTGGTAAACTCATGGGTAATTTTTCTAAAGGTTATTGCGCCACTTACAGAACTGTTCCTATACGCCTGTTGCAACACCATACCAGGTCATTGGGGGATATTTACTGGTTATGTGGGGATCTACAGTTAAGATCTAGGCTGGAAACGGAGTGGTGGGGTGAGTGTACCCTAGCCAAAGTTATCATGCCCATTCATATTATTTCTGATAATCATCATGACACATACGACCCTCCACATACACCAGCCAGAGTGAAGCGCGAAACCCCAGTAAAAGGCAGTTTTGACCCCCACATTTACATGGATGCCGTTGGGGTACCTAGGGGGGTGCCTAATGAATTTAAAGCTAGAGATGAAGTCGCTGTAGTTTTTGAATCACTTTTTTACCATAGTCACTGCCAACAAAAACCTTAATTGGATTAACTACATTTATTACAACCAACAGCGTTTTGTCAACTACACCAGGGATGCCCTCCAGGGCCTGGCCGAGCAGTTGCAGGCCACATCCCAGATGACCTTCCAGAACAGAATGGCCTTAGACATGATTCTAGCTGAAAAGGGGGGTGTATGTAAAATACTACCTGACACCATGACTTGTTGCACTTATATCCCAGAAAACACAGGTCCTAATGGTAAAGTCACTCTGGCCATAGCTAAATTAAATAGACTCTCAGAAGAGTTAAAGAGAAACTCTGGAGTTACTGATCCCTGGGAAAAATGGTTTGGTTGGATGACTGGTTGGCAGAGAGCTTTAGTCCAGATTGGTATTGCCTTACTAATTTTTCTTTTTATTCTCACTCTTCTCATTTGTTGTGTCCTCCCATGCCTAAGGAAATTCCTGCAGAAAACTGTAGACCAAGCAACACCAACCTTCACTCATCTGACAATCGATGATCAAGATCTCATCTCACCCTGTATTCCGCTACAAACTCTCCCGTATACTGATGAAGTGCAGAAAGTCTAGGAAGGGACAGTACAGGGACAGCGTCCGTCTTTATGGGTAGACTGCCGTACGGAGAAGTAGTGGATAAGCCACTATGGGTTACCAGCGGAGTGAAGAGTGTTCCTGAACCGTACTGACGGATGTGCTGCAGCCTGTTAGGGTCGAGAGAGGGATAGACTTGCACTTTGCATTAACACTAAGTCAGCGGTCATGGGGTTTCTGTGTCTTTGGGCTAACACATCTTCTGATACTAACAAATAAAGTTTTGTCTTTTAGCAAATAACATTTTAGGGGGGACTGTTGTAGAATTATTAGGCCTCTATAAATCTGTAAGGCCCCTTTAAATCCTCTTGCTATACTTCTAAGAGGCCCCCATAGTTTTACAAGAAAGCCTTGTCTATAGAACATAGAATTTGCATGTCAGCAAGAAATAGCTTTGATAAAATGTGTATTTACTAAAAGCCTTGAAACCTAGCCTTGAGAAACTAACAAGTGCCAGTTACGCTCTAAATGGATAGCTGCCAAAAGGCCCCTCCCGTCGAGTGAGCTCCTCATGTTAGCAAAATGGCGCTAAAACCTGGAGGAGACAATCATGACGAAGGATAGTGACTTAAGATGGTACACCCCATAGGGAGGGCATTTTACTAACATCTTAGCACCTAAGCCAATTAACAATGCCTATTTGTCTATATCTTGATTTTCTTCAATGATGTAATAATGCCTTTAAAAGGGTCTGCGCACCCATTTTCTGTCAGAAGCCATTAAACTTCTCCGGAGTTCTTTCTTACAAAGGATTGATTTAGGCACCCAGACAATTTTCAGCTTAATGAAGTGGTCTTGGTGCTAGGTCCTTCTAGGGTTAACCCATTGTTTTATAAACATAGCAGTTTCAGAGAAACTGCTATGTTTATCAATGGGTTAAGCCTTCCCCCAAAGCCTCTAGCAGCTGTCTCATTGACAGCCGCTAGAGGCGCTTGCGTGCTTCTCACTGTGATTTTCACAGTGAGAGCACGCCAGCGTCCATAGGAAAGCATTGTAAATGCTTTCATATGCGACCGGCTGAATGCGCCAGCTTAGCTCTTGCCGCTGCAAGCGCATTCAGCCGGGCGCGGGGCGAACGGAGGCGGAGAGGAGGAGGAGAGCTCTCCTACCAGCTGGAAAAAAAGGTAAGTTTAAACCCCTTTCCCCCTTCCAGAGCCGGGCGGGAGGGGGTCCCTGAGGGTGGGGGCACCCTCAGGGCACTATAGTGCCAGGAAAACGAGTATGTTTTCCTGGCACTATAGTGGTCCTTTAACCTGAACTTTGTGTCTCAGTGTGAATTTACTTCTGCGTGCACGCAACTTTATTATCTTTAATTTGGACAGGAACAGATAGTCATTCAAACTAATTGGTTTGCAGTAAATTATCTACTACAAAATCAATTTCTTAGACTGAACCTTTCTTGTTAAACAGACCATAAATTAAAAAAATGCAAAAACAGACATTATCGTATGGATCTTGTGAAGGGATCCCAAAAACAAGTGGAAAAGTGCAATAGAAAAGATTTTTCTTAAAAGAAGTGAAATCAGGAAATAAAGACTTTAACATAAGACTTTTATTATGAATATATAACAGTAAGGCCCATCTAATTGCAAAAACAATTAAGAAATATTAGTTGAAGATGAATTTGTAAAAAAAATGTTTTAACCAAGAAACCCTGTATAATTTATAAAAAGAACTGAGAATCGGAAATCTATTTTAGCTCCCAGTGTCCTACCAGAATTAAACAAGAAAGATTAAAAAAACCTGATAATTGTTTTTTTAAGAGAAAAATCTAAAAGTTTTTATAAGTGCGGCAGATGCAGCATTTGTAAATTCCAACCTTATAAAACATTAGATTTTAAGAGTAACACCACAGGCGAGTCTTTTCAAATTAAGCATTTTATAAAGTGTCAAAGTAGAAATGTAGTTTTTGTTACAATAGAAACGTGGCGCACAATATCTAGGACGCACTATACGTAAACTGCATGAAAGGTTATTGGAACACTTTAATGGAATCAATAGAAAAAATATGAAGCATAGAGTACCGAGGCATTGTAATAATTGTAAAGAATTAAAATGTGAAAATTTCAGTTGCATCGGTATCGATATAGCCACCCCCCCCATTGGAGAGAAGGCGATATCGAAAAACGATTGGCCTTGAAAGAAACAGAATGGATTTCTAAACTAAAAACCTCAGTGGTTTAAATACAGATCTAGATATTCTGGTTTTTATGGATTGATTCCATTAAAATTTGTTTATAATAATTTTTTATAGATTTTTATCATATATTTCTATTATGTATATTTTTTTTTCATGAACTTCATCTTGCACTACTCAGGTTCCACTATCCTGAACAACACTGTTTATCTTTGAATCCGAATATTGCTGCTGTATTGTTTATTAACTAACTCTTAGTTTTTTGTCCTAGCTTTGGAATTTAAGTTTTATTTATTTATTTTTTATGCCTTCCATATATCCTTCGCATATACCCCCCGATTACCTAGTTATGATTACATATTTAAGGTTATTGATTTTAGAAATTATGTTTTCTATGCCAAATAATGTTGTACATATATTTACTATATTTCACTACTCTGTATGTTTGATTCAGATGCATTTATTTCTTCCTTTTATATATATATATATATATAATTTTGTTTGGATGAACACACTTGTATGTATATTTTTATAATTTTTCTAAGTCTTTTATAACTCATTGGCATTCTTGAGATGCCTTTTTACATATATTAAATATGTGGATCCAATGTCCAAATAAAGTTTGCATGCGTTCCAGAGAGGAACGCACATGCGCAACTGACGCTGACATCAAGTAGGTGCGCCGTCGCGCATGAGCATACACATTGATGGGACGCGGCCCGCGATATTTAAACGCCGGTTTTAGAAGAGAGAACAAGCTCCTGACGCAGTATGAAGAGAGAGACGAAACACGTTGAGCATATCCTGAGCCCCCAAAGGATTTCAGCATCTGGTGGTGTAATAACCGTTCAATCCTACTGACTGTCAGTGAAGGAAGATCTGTGGACACAGAAGACTACAACTGCAGACTGTTATACCTGGGGAATCAGCCTATTTGAGGCAAAAGCGCATGTGCACATATTGATGGTTTCAATTTTATTTGTTTTATCATTTCTTGTTATTAAAGTTTGCACTATGATGTTTTCATACTCATCTTTCAGATGGTAATTATATCTACCACTCAGTTTGTGATAGTGGCGCCCTACACTGTATTTTAACTTTGTTACTATACAGTTTTCTTTGTGCACTGGTTTTTGGAGGGATATAGGGAGTGTTTCCCATTTGTAGTGGCTTGCCTGCAAGACTCTTTTACCTCACTATTCTTTGTTTGGTTTTATATCTGAACCTTTAATAATGCAAATTATTTTTATTTCTTTTT